GGGGGGGGGGGGGGGTGACGTTACAAACTTATAGCATGAGTACATTGCACTCTGGGCCAGAAATGCAATCTAGCGGATCAAAATTAATAATTCCAAAACGAACCGCGACTTGGTGCCTTGGAAAATCTTTCTCTTCATAATAAGGACAATCTATTGACATAAACAAATAGTTCAAAACTCTTCCGCAAATATGGCACCACAATCCTACTTCTTTATCTGACGTTTTGGAGACTTGGTGTCTCGGGCAAACTTGTTTATCTCAACAAAATAAACAACTCTTTTCAAGACGTAAAATTGCCACAGCCTACTGGTTCCGATTTTGAGGAAGTTAAAGAAAAAAAGAAATGGCAGAAATTTGGTTTTTTCCTTCTGTTTCGGTTATTTTGCTTACAACCATATAATATTATATTTTTCTCTTATGAAAATGCATTAAATAAATAATTCTTGTGAAAAAAAAATACTGGTTCAAGCTTCAATTTTAAAGATAATGTTGAAAAAAAAAACGAAAGAATACAACAATTTTTTAACTTTATTAACGCAAACAAAACGCAAAAAATTGCAACCTGACATTTTCAGCAAAAATTAAGCAACACTCGATAAACAAAATATCAGAATTTGAGAGAGGTATATTTTGGTGTTTTCGAGATTTCTTCATTTTGGTGGAACATGTATTTTTTTTTCTAAAACTTTTTTTATGGCGTTCTGAAGACTTGACGACTTTGGCAAAGATGCTTATCTTGATAAAATAAACAACTCTTCTACAGACGTCAAAACTCCACACCCTGCTCAGAGTTGGTAGAAAATGCTATCTAACATGAAGTTTAGTGTGATAATTTATTAGCTAGAGAATGGTCTTCTAAAGTGTTGTTTATTTTATCAAGGTAAACAACTTTGCCGAAGACATCAAGTCTCCAAAACGCAGAAAAAGAAGTTAGATTGTGGTACCATCTTTGCGGAAGAGTTTTGAACTATTTTTATGTCAATAGATGGTCCTTATTATGATGAGAAACTTTGTCTAAGACACCAAGTCGCGGAAATGCTGCGTTTCGGAGTTATTAATTTTGCTCCGCTAAATTGCATTCCTGGCCCAGTGTACAGTGGTCCAGAATGCAGATTTAGGTGGAATGATATGTTTTGAGCCTGAAATTGAATCTTTAGACTAACAGTCTCTTCTACAAAGTTGGCCCTTATTTTTATGACAATGAATTCAAGCGTGGTTCTTATTATCATTAAAATCAAAAATCTAACTTTTTTGTTTGAATAAATTTAAATTCAAATTTCTCATAAAAGTCATCCTGCAGAAACTTTTAAAACTCTTTAAAACAAATGTTTTATAGTGAAATTTGTTGTCTGTATCTCTTCTAATAAAAAAGATATACCCAAATATAGTAAAAAAATTAATAAATTCGAATTGATTTTATACGAGTTTAAAAAATAACATACCTCCAATTTTTCAAATTATTCAGAATAACATACGCCCTTTCAAATGCCGTATAAAAACTTTTTTTTGTTTGCCCCAACCAGAGATATTAACATTTGAAAAGTGCATATTTTTAGTACAAAAACGTCAATACCTCTTTATCGGCGAAAGATATTGACAAGAAATTTGAAATAAGAAAACTAGAGCAAAATAATTGTTTTTTTTTAGCGCCACCCTAACTCAATTCAAGAAAATATACATAAGAGATACTGATTTGAGTTGTTTACAAAAGATGTAGGTAATATCAAAGCCTACAAAAGCTTGAAACACTATTTTACGGAATTCTGTTTATGAAAAAAGTTAGAAGGAAATGAATGTAAATGAATGCACGAAATGAATTTAAATGATTTTCCATCCCTGTTCTGGACCACTGTACCAACAATCAATACGAAACTAACGATTTTAAATTGACTCACCACTTTAGTAGCCTATTGGTCCCAAGCAAACGATTAACGTACCCTATTCTAGTTGAAATTCTATTACTACACTATGTTTGTTTTGATTCGCTATGAAAGTTTGACAGATAACATCAAGGGTGTGTGGATTCATGCAGAACATGCAGGGGTGAGTGAAATAGCTTGGGACTGCTTGGGACCGTTGTTCTGGTACTGAGTGAGCCAAAAATAATAATGATTTTCTTCGGGACCCAGTGGTCTTAGAGTTACCTCTATGACTGTACAGTGTGCATTGTAAATGAGTTAACATTTTAACATCGATGCTAAAGCTTGAGTCATTTAATATCTAGACGCAAAAAAAGGATGTGTCTCGGAACCGTCTTAATGAAATAATAATGTTGAGTACTCAAAATGAAGGTATTTCTTCGAATACCTCAAATATTTTAGAAGAATTTTCATTAGAATATTATTTTAAAAGCATGGGGAATTTTACAGACCATTATTGGAACACACCATAATTGGAACGTATAGCTATAACTACACACACACCAAAAAATTATGAATTTTAATGGTCATGTAAATATCCATGCATGCTAAAATTGAAGTATGTAAACTTCCTTTTCACGTAAACTAGCAACTTGCAAGAAATATTGCTAACGAAGATGGATGGTTGCATACAATATTTAGAATATTTCATTAAATGACTCATAAATTTACACGATCTGTAATGTGAATTTGTATGATATGTGACGCTCCATTTATGTGCATCATACACAGTTCGAAAAAGTAGTGTAAATTTCTATTCAATATGATGCACATAAATGGAGCACATATATCATACATATCATATACGTTTGCATTATATATCATGTAAAGTTCTGAACATTTCATGCTATTTAGCAAATATTGTATACAAAAGCCCATCTTTGTCAACAACATTGTTTGCAAGTTGCTCGGTTGCGTGAAATTAAATACAAATCTACGTGATTGAATGTTTACATCACAATTAAAATTCAGAATTTTTATCTGTGTAGTGACAGAAATTTACACTACTTTTTCGAACTGTGCAGCTAAAAAAAAGTAGTGTAAATTTCCGTTACTATGATGCACATAAATGGAGCGTCATATATCATACAAGTTTAGATTATAGATCGTGTAAATTTATGAGACATGTCGTGCAATATCCCATATATTGTATGCAACTGTCCACTTTTTTTGCAACATTTCTTGCAAGTTGCTAATTTACGTGAAAAGGAAGTTTACATGTATTAGCGAATTCGTTTATAATTCAGTTCCAACCTGGATCGGGTATCAAGATTGGGTCTGCTTGTTTTCTGACAAACGTCAGTTTGCTCGTTTGTTTTTAAAACCTAGCTCAGGTTGAGGTTCACACTGACAAAAAGTTCGGTTTCGCACTGGGTTGGAACTGGTGTTAACCCCGATAATAAACGAATTCGCTATATGAATGTTTGCATGCATGGATGTTTATATCGCCAGTAAAATTCAGATTTTTTTGGTGTGAGTACACTAATAATTAATCAAGAGTTTCTGATTTGAGAATGTCAAAACATTTTGTGGAGTAGTTGTTGAGTAGTGTAGTGGAGAAGTGTAAAACGTTGTAACGTCATACAATATACACAGTTCGAAAAGTAGTGTAAATTTCTGTTCAATATGATGCACACAAATGGAGCATCATATATCATATAAGTTTACATTATATATCATGTAAAGTTCTAGCACAATTCATGCAATGTAGCAAATATTGTATACAAAAGCCCATCTTTGTAAACAACATTGTTTACAAGTTGCTCGGTTGTGTGAAATTAAATTTAAGTTTACGTGAATGAATGTTTACATCACAATTAAAATTCAGAATTTTTATCTGTGTAGTCACTCAGCAAATAATTTTGAGCTACTCAAATCTTAAGGGGCTGTCCACACAGTTCGAAAAATTAGTGTAAATTTCTGTTCAATATGATGCACATAAATGGAGCGTCACATATCATATACGTTTACATTATATATCATGTAAAGGTCTGACATATATCATGCAATGTAGCAAATATTGTATACAAAAGTCCATCTTTGTAAACAACATTGTTTGCAAGTTGCTCGGTTGCGTGAAATAAAATACAAGTCTACCTGAATGAATGTTTACATCAACATTAAAATTCAGAATTTTTATCTGTGCATATACTACGTGGACAGTTTTTAGAGGTTTTAGAACACCTCCCCTTCCATATAAAACCATCCATATATTTTTTTGAAAACTTGTACACGCAAACCAAAAATTTATTACATTGAATGTTAGTTGCATTTCCTATCATCCTTCACAGCGAATACCGCAGAGAATGATGTAAGTTGACCTTGCAGACGATGCAATGTTTTTTTTTATATTTTTTATTTCATGTTCTGTCTAAGATGTGAAGGGAGCACAGGTTTGCTAATCATTTTTTTTTTTCTATTTATTTTTGACATACCTAATTCATTTCACTCATATAACATTTTTCGGTCTCCAATTTTCTTGAGGTCCAATGCAGCTCGGTATATCTCTCATACTCCGTTCATGTGGATTGCACTAACATCCTGCGATGATGAATCCCTCATAATTGAAAGCAAATCCCCCGATTGGGTGTATGGACTGTGGACATTTGCCAAATATCTACCCCGCCATCCGAAGGTGTCCACGTGGTATATAGACAGCAACTGCTTGCTTAAATCTTGAATAATATTTGAGGGTTACTTTTATGTTTGGTCTGTTACAGTACAAAACCTATAAAAAAAAATCAGGTTAAACGGTGAATACATCTTGGTAGGCTTTGTGTCAATAAAATAAAGTAAATTCTTTAAACGAGTTATAATTTTTCTTCAGGGTCTTAATTTCTTAAACATTTGTTATCTCAATCTCTCAATTTCAACTAATTGCGCCGCGTGGACCAATATCTCCAAACGCCACGGAAACAGAAAGGGGGCAATGTCAAATCAATTTTGATTCGGCAAAGTCATCGTGATGCTCAGATGATTTAAAAAATCTTATCAATTATCTTGTAATCAGCGTATTGTGGTGAACACAAATTTAGCTTGTGCACCATCTAATAACCCTCGTCTGGTGTATCAGTACCAAAATGTCACCGCTATCAATTGGACTGGCGCTATTCTGCGTGGTAGCCTTTGCGTTCTTAAACTATGTCTTCGGCTATTGGAAGCGTCGAGGAGTGCGCCAGCTGACTCCATTCTTTCCGTTTGGCAATTTTACGGAAGTCTTCCTCGGTAAGGCCTCCTTCCCGAAGGGCTGCGAAAACATCTACGAACGTAGCAAACAATGGCGCCTGGTCGGTGGATACATCCTCTTGCGCCCGGTGCTATTCGTCAACGATCCCCAGCTGACCAAGGACATCATGGTTCGCGATTTTCAGCACTTCCACGACCGTGGTCCACACGTGGACGAAGTGAACGATCCACTGAGTGGACACTTGTTTTCTCTGGCCGGAGAAAAGTGGAAGCACTTACGAGCCAAGCTGACACCGACCTTTACCAGTGGCAAACTTAAGGGCATGTTCCAGATCCTGGTCGATACGGGGGTTGTGCTGCAGGACTACATCCAAAAGCACGCTGACAATGAGGATGTCGTTGAGATCCGGGAGATTTTGGCATGCTACAATACGGACAGTATTGCTTCAGTGGCGTTCGGGATTAAGATTGATTCGATTAACAATGTCAACGAACCGTTCCGTCAGATCGGGCGTAAGGTGGGTGTGCGTCAGATAATCTGACCGATTCGTTATCTTATCTACCGGTGAGTTTATCAATTTTCAGGTATTTGAGCCAAGCTTCCGCAACGGCATGCGTTTTCTGATAACGTTTATGGTTCCGAAGCTGAACAAGTACTTGAAAATTAAATCCGTTGATGACGATGTGGAGCGGTTCATCCTGGACGTAGTTCGGGAGACGTTAGAATATCGGGAAAAGAATGGCGTCACTCGTAAGGACATGATGCAGCTGCTGCTACAGCTCCGTAATACGGGAACCGTTTCGATTGATGAACGGTGGGATGTTGATACAACAAGTAAGTACAAGAACCTGTCGCTGGAGGAGGTCGCTGCGCAAGCGCATGTATTCTTCATTGCCGGATTCGAGACGTCTTCCACGACGATGTCCTTCTGTCTGTACGAGCTGGCCAAGAATCCCTCAATTCAGCGCAAAGTTCAAGAAGAAGTCGATTCTGTGATGGAATGTCACGGAGGTAAGTTGACCTACGAAGGCATCATGGAGATGCGCTACTTGGAATGTTGCATCGATGAAACCTTGCGGAAATACCCAGCGGTGCCAGTGTTGAACCGAGAATGCACCCAAGACTACAAGGTCCCGGACTCGGATTTTGTAATCGAAAAAGGAACGGCAGTAGTACTGCAGATCGGTGGAATGCAGCACGATCCACAGTACTATCCGGATCCTATGCGGTTCGATCCGGAGCGCTTCCGGGACCCGGACGTGAAGAACAAACCGTACGCACCGTTCGGTGATGGACCACGGATCTGCATCGGGATGCGAATGGGCAAGATACAGACCAAGGTGGGACTGTCGCTGCTGCTGTCCAAGTTTAGCTTCGAGCTGTTTGGGCACGAAGAACCGGAGTTAATCATGGATACGAATAACTTCGTCCCTATGCCAGTTAGTGGCATAAATTTGAAGGTTAGCGGTCGTGGGTGGTAGGCTTCACGTAAACGGGTTGATTGCTTGTTGAAACATTATTCTAAATATAGCTCGTTTCATTATTATTACTGTGAAAGCGCATTGATTAGATAATACGTAATTGTTTTTTTTTTGTGAATTCACATGTTCCAATGCCAATCCTGAATCCGTAGCTTTTAGGTCTCTGGCTCTTCAGTTCTTCATTTAACATATTCAAACGCCTCGAATCTGTGCACTTTAATTTCGAAATATCAAGGCTCGACTCGATTACTTTTCGTTGCTCACTCCTCATTTCGACTTTCTGGCAAGCAAAGTAACGATTCCACTGCCACCAAAAAAAAAAGTCGATTTATGCAGGGCTTTGAGAATGCAAAACTGTGTAAGTAAGAGGAAACCAAAGTTTATTATTTACGGTAGTTTCTGAATAAACTTTTCTCAAGTGTCGTTTCTCATATAATTAGAACTTGGAGCTTATTTGTCGGTGCTGAAAGAACGTGGAAATTTTGGCGATGTCGATTCGAAGATGAATGGTGTGCGGAAAACTGGTTGCAAATGTGATGACTGCTCATGGATGGCTGGGTAGTTTCAAGTGTTTGTTTCCAGCTGATGATTTGTGAAGGGAATCTAGTGTAAATTTCACTAAAACAGATTTAATATTGTGCTTGCCAGTTTTGACGTCTTAACCGTTGCAAGTCAAGAAAATAAATTTAATGGAACTATCAGAATAAGCCAACAATTACTGATAGTTCGGCTTGTCTGTGACATTACTATTTGAGGCAACTTCTGCAATTGTGCATTACATGGATAGAGGAAAACCACGTAAGTGAGTGGCAGTGATTTATCTACACACCAAAAGATTAAGAAATTATGACAACAATTAAGGTGATGTAAATATCCATGCATGCTAAAATTGAAGCATGTAAACTTCATTTTTACGTAAACTAGCAACTTGTAAGAAATATTGCTTACAAAGATGGATGGTTGCATACAATATTTAGAATATTTCATGAAATGGCTAATAAATTTACACGATCTGTAATGTGAATTTATATGGTATGTGACGCTCCATTTATGTGCATCATAGTGTCAGAAATTTACACTACTTTTTCGAACTGTGTACTTTATACTGCGAGCAATTCATTCCCACTCGTATGAGTTAAGTTGCGGTATAAATTTGTATTCCTGATTGCAATCGCGGTTTGCTGTACGTGTGAAGAAATTTATGTGATTGTGCTATCCGTGTTCCTCGGTGGGTTCAAATAATTTAAAAAGAATAATTATTATTTTCGTACTGAATGCGTCGTCAACAACAATGCTCGTTCTTCTTTTTCTTCTTTGGTTAATACGTCTCACCTGCACAGTTCGAAAAAGTAGTGTAAATTTCTGTTCAATATGATTTTTTTTTCTAGTGATCCAGTGGCAGCAACTTGCTAAAACTCTACACTGGACCCCTTTTATTGATAAATTTTGCTTCTATGAGCCTCTATTTTAAATCAACACACAGACGTTCCTAGGCTATGGTGCCCGTTTGGTCACTGTTGTTTTTGTGCTGATCCAAATAGTTTTGATAATATAATTGCGCATTCTTGTTTTTTTAAAAGGTTGATTTTCGTCCCAGTCTTGTCTTCTGTCGTCACTTATTTTGTCATTTTGTCTTGTGTATTAACCCCCACTTGTCTTGTTTATTGTGTCAACTTGTGTCTATTGTCCTTCCCCATCTGTTACTCTGTCATGACTAATTTCATTGATATATAAAAATAGTAATATCAATTACAGGATAATATGGTTATTTCTCGATTACTTTTTCAAAGGGAAGCACCAGCTCCTGCAAACAATGCATCCGATCGTTGATCCGGCGCAACCGACATCTCGCACACGCTTATCAACACCACCAGCAGGTAGAGGAAAATTTCCCCTATCTGATGATAGTGCCAGCACGCGCGGGCGAGCCACCAGTTACGCCAAATCGACGACCAAACGCACCGCCTACAAAAGCCGATACGCTCCCTTGAAAAAGTTATCGAGATTTCTACTAATTAATGAATTATTGACAATTACCTCTCATGATCCTTGGCTCTGATTTTAACTTACCACTTTTTGATTATTTATCAAATACCTCTCCCAGAATATATAACTCCCCGAAGCTTTGTTGGTTTCTGGTCTCATTTGGATTGGTCCTGAATTTGTTTGACATCCTGTTCGAAGTAATTCTTTGAGTTCCAGCTTGTACGTGTCTCACGTCATATGATTCGCCATGCATAAAGATAATGGGTTAAAAGGGAGTAAAACATACATAAAGATAGATTAGTATTAGTTGTACTTGATCCAAACAATAGAAAGAAGCATAGATGACTTAGTAGAAAAATAAAACTAATAAATAACTAAAAGTGCAATGGATAAGTGTTAGTTCCGGGATCATTTTAGTGTTAGTAGTTATGTTAGTTTTGATCCGTATTCAGCCCTGCTGGCCCCTCCAGCACTATTTGCAGCAATTGTGATAAGATTATGCGACACTGCTACTACTACTATGTTAGATGTATGACTTGTCAATTTTCGCAACGCAATGTCTTTCAATAAATCACTCAATCAATTTGATGTTTGAAAATTTGCTCAAAAGGGCTTTGTTGACACATCATACCTTACCGAAAACTAAAGCACAACAATCCTAATTCTTATTTCAAACCTATCAACATATTTCACACATCTTTCCTAAAATTTCACTTGTTCGTAAGCGCCTGGTTGAAGATATGACTTTCGCTATTGACATTGTCTGTAATTAACAAATACACTAAATAGGAAGATTTATTATACAACTTCATAGGCTAGTCACCTCCCTTAGCGGACCCCCCGCGTCCTATCTCTTATGTTAATTAACTTTCTGAATTCTATAATTGAAGTTTATTTAATAAATAACTGAAATCTCTAATCTACCTACATAACCCATGCTTTTAAACTACAATTTAACGTGTTTCAAGTACTTCTCGCTTTAACATATCTTATCTTATATCTTTGTTCGTCCCAGATGACACCTTCAAGTGACTAAAATGCTTCACTTTGAAGTTAGTTTCCAAGCTAATTTTAAATTGTATATTGTATAGGGTAAATGTTCCAACTACGCTCTCACGTTTCCACTACAAAAATACATATGGGTATGTCCCAATATAAGCACACCACAGTGGAAATCCCGAGCCATAGTTCAAACACTTATCCCAAATCAAAATGAAGCACATATAAGATTAGTTACAATACCATGTACAAAAATGATGTTTAACATTGTTTTCTTTCCCAAAACCCATGCTTTTAAACTACAATTTAACGTGTTTCAAGTACTTCTGGCTTTAACATATCTTATCTTATATCTTTGTTCGTCCCAGATGACACCTTCAAGTGACTAAAATGCTTCACTTTGAAGTTAGTTTCCAAGCTAATTTTAAATTGTATATTGTGTAGGGTAAATGTTCCAACTACGCTCTCACGTTTCCACTATGTGGCACCACAAAAATACATATGGGTATGTCCCAATATAATTACACCACAGTGGAAATCCCGAGCCATAGTTCAAACACTTATCCCAAATCAAAATGAAGCACATATAAGATTAGTTACAATACCATGTACAAAAATGATGTTTAACATTGTTTTCTGAGTAATACTTCAATGAAAACAACAATGAAAGCTTGTCACGCAAATAGAAGGAGCACTGTTGGGCACTTTCTGAAATATTTCAATAGTATAATTCCCTTGCAAACCCAAATGAATCTATCTGCGTAAAAATAAATAAAATAAGAGTGATTTGCGGCAAAACCCGCCAGTATCACACCCAACGTCAGTGCCTATACGTAAGCGTACTACGACGCGGCTCTCAATTAAAGGAGTAACAAGTGTGATACTATCACTGCTAGACTAGATATTTGGTTCTCTCATGCAGTGGTTTATCAGAGAGGGGAAGCTTAGTAATCCCCATTGCCTGCCCATGACGCCATTCTATCGCGGCATGAGCTAGCAACGCCGACCATAAACCTACCGTTTCCAACACTCCACTAGCATGAAATTAAGCCCGCCCACCAACAGCAAGGTGCAAAAACTAGCCAAGGGGAGGGAGTGTAAATTTCTGTTCAATATGATGCACATAAATGGAGCGTCACAATACGTTTATATTATATATCATGTAAAGTTCTGACACATTTCATGTGTCAAGAACTCGTGACTTTGGCGTGAGAGGTATAGATGCTAAACTCTACGCCGGGGTCGCTCCCATCATTATTATAAATAACTTGGACATTTGTTAGAAATATAAGTATGGGTTAGGAATAAAATAAACAAATTGACATTTATGGTTGTTTTTAGACCATTCTAGAATAAAGTTTAACACAAAGGTCACAAAAATCAACATTTTTTTTAAATTAATTCAAAATATATATATATATATATTCTCACGTAAAATGTCTGACACAGATTCAATTTTTCATCTTCTGCTGATTTTTTTTTATATTCGTTCTACAGTATTGTTGGTATTCTCATGAAACCTCGCACTTCAGTCTATTCTATGTATAAAATACTCTTGGTATAATCATTACCAGTGCTGCAAAATCTCGACAGTACACGGTGATATTGAAAATTCTACTTTGGTCACTCATTTGAGCTAACAGTCATAGTCAAGGCAAACCATGTCAATTGTCAATGACAATGGTGTCAGTGACGAAAATGTGCAGATTTGTTTATTAGCTAAATTTGTAACGAAATTAAATGACTTGAGCAAAACAATTACATGGATCCATTTCAGTGAACAAGTATCTACGTCCTGAGCTACTTGGATAACAATAATGTGACACAGAATGTACTAAATTACACTTTTTGTTTCCAGGTGAATCTTTGTCATTGACGAAAAAATTAATGAGATTTTGACGAAGGTTTTTTTGAGGATCAAGTCTGTCAGTGACTATGTGACGAACAATTTTGTCAATATCGCGCGAAAGTTTGTCAATGACAATGACAAATCTCAGCACTGATCATTACAATTCCTTTAGTAATTTCTTCAGATTTATCTTTAAGCATTTTTCAGAAACCATTTAAAACCTGCTATTGAAGTTCGTTAATAATTTTCTTGAAACCTTTCTCAGAACACTCCTTAAAATGTCCTCAGAACTTTTTTAAAATTCTTGATTTGTTCACTGAATAATTGAAGTACTATTGCTGAAGGATCTTTATTTATTTATTTATTTATTTATCTATATGATTATCTTTAAACAGTGAGTTTTGACAGCTTATTTTGTGTAGGGGTCATATATGACCACATGGGATCGAATCGGTTATCGTCCGACGTGCTTTACGTCGCGATTTTGCTTTTTGTTGCTGCTGGTATGAGAAGGTACTAAATACTACTTTAAAGCATTGACAAAAAGTTCTTTACACTATTGTCAAGAATAAACGCTGTTTGCAGTAAAAACATCATGTGACATAGAATTTCAATTTAAATATCGATGATGGCATTTCTCAGCAGCCGCCCAGCAACTTATTCGACGATAATATAATATCGCATATCATCGCTAACCGAGATAGACGTTATAAAAAGAACATATTAGAGCAGCTTTCCCGTAAGAAGGTTACCACATCCGTTCATACATGGCAAGCTGCAGTGAGTCAAGCACGAACAACAAAGGTCTCTCTATCCCTATCATCGTGTTCCACAACGGTTCCATTGCACAAAACTGCCACATCATCTTTGTCCAGCGCCACTACGATAGATCCCCGGAGCAGACGAGACGCTTCCTTATTCCGGCTCATTGAATAGTCGGACCTGATACAGATACACATACCCACACGTTCTTGCAAGTACAAGTCCCTGGAAGGTCCTACTACGGAGTGGAATACGATGATCACCTCTGGAGTGTGCAAGAAAGGGAAAAATCAATTTAAGTCCGTCTTTATGGTCGAATTATATTTACGATTATGAAGCTTCACCGCTCCTTTCCAGGCAGCTTGTCTGCGATTTTCAGTCGGACTCGAATGCTCTTGTGGTGGCACAACGATAGTTTTGACGGCCATTACCAGATATATGACTCTGTTTATGTTGATGGACGATGTTGATTGCTGCCGTTCGTTCGGTTTGTTGGGAAAACTGTCTTATGCCAGAAAGTAAAGCAATATTCTATGTTTTGGTAATAATTCTTCCCGTAATATCCAAGTTCCACAAAAACAATGGCTTTTAAAGTACAAAATTATTTTCCTCAAAGAACAGAACTCCAGCAAGGCGAACAACAACAGTTTTTAAAAACCCCCCATCAAAAGTCAACCCGCGGGGATTCGCTCCCCGTGAGCTAATGACACAATTAAGTCAAGACTTTGCCTGCTTCATCCTTTTCACTGCCACATGAAAACCAGATTTTCCCCCTGATTCCCCAAGCACTCACAAGGCAGGAGGAGGAACGAATAATAAAAAAAAAAACATTTGTGCTGGATTAACTTCCGGTTGATGATTTTGTTTATTTTTTCATCTTATTCCCCACTTGGAAGGTGACGACTCGACTGATGCCTTTTTGCAGTATGAAATAATATGATGGTTGAAGCAGACGTCACCCAGAGAACACAAATTATTCACAATTTAGCGAACGGGGGAAAATGGCTTTCAATGTTGGGGAATTTAACGCGAAGAAATTCTTCCAGCAAGTTGGACTATTTTGAAGGAATGCACGGTTGAGCAATTATTTAACAGCTTTGGCTGCTTGAGGCAGACAAGGTGTATCAGGAGCTCCAAGATGGGGCTTATTTTTTTCTAGCACTTCTTCGAAGCGTGTAAAATTGCATTTAAGTACTCCGTTATTTAATTAAGGCGCGAGCTCAAATGTTGAAGTGGTTTCAAAAGAGGTTTTTGAGCTCTACAGTGAAAAGTAAAGGCGAGTTTTGAAGAGGAACTTGACAAATTGTGTTGAATTTTGAAGTTCAGTGAATGCTGTTTATTCAGTTATTTTCCTAGAGTAGGTTTGAGTACAAGGTACACCGGAGCTCGTGAACACGTGCGGTAAGGGTGTAGGGTGTACATAACTCAGTTGAACATATTTATATTAAGGATTATACCCTTTTAACAAATAAAAGATAATGCCAGCAGGTTGACGGGAATGATTACGAGTGTCACTTCTCTGTCACTTGTTTGACACGGTGATGAAAAAGTGAGCGAAGTGATAATACATTTAGCGTAACATTGGGCCCCGCTTAGTGGTTGGCAACCATGCATCTCACGCTGAAAGTCACGAGTTCAAATTTCTTACCCGAAGAAGCCATTGTGTTAAAGTGACCCTAATACATAAAATAGCACCACATTATGTAATAAAGAAACTTGAGAACCTTTCCCAAACAACAGAGAATCGAATTCTTACGGCAGTTTACTACACACACTTAGAAATTATTATACACAAAAAACAAAAATTGTTTTAATAAAAATAATGCCATTTCAAATTAAAAGTTTCCTAAGTTTCGTAATTTTAACAACGAAAATATTCAAATTAAAAGTATTTTTTTTTTTGGTTTGAAAGTGTTTCTTTCAGGTTCGACTTGTAATTTTAAAAGTGCATTTTTTTTAAATGAAAGTTGTTCAACTGTCAAAAATACATTTTCTAGGCAAAGTTTTTGGCAGCACTGGACCTCGTTTTGCCGCTTAATTTGGCTTGACGTCAGATGAGTCACGAAGAGCGAGGAAAAGTTGGGAAGGACAATAATTTTCCTCCATGGAAAATAATAATCGCATCAGGTAGGCGATCAAATTTAAGAACAATAGTAGAGTTTAATTAGAGATTTTTATTAATTTCAGATAAACCGAAACCGAGACCGAAACAATAGTCATCTGCGAGCGGACGAGATGGCTAGGAATGAAAGTGAGTGTTCGACGACTACTACAACAGTAGATGTTAAAGGTATATAACAATATTTAATTAATATTCCACAGAAACCCTCACCAAAAACGGTCTAATTTGATACCTTCCTTCCGCTATCCGCTGCCGTAAAATCTCCACCGGTAAACAATGACGCTGCTGACAATGCTGCAATGTGACATCACCATGTACCTGTTACTGTAGCAGGTTTACTCAAAGCGAGAATAGCTCCAAGCCTAAGCAACATTGCAAGTTTTATCAAGGTTTTATAGCATTCTACAAGTCTAAATCATGGTCTACAGAACCTTCATAAAACCAGAAATGTTACTTGGGAGACGCAATAACGTAAACATCAACAAAGATAACAATAACAATGCAAAAAAATTGATCTTCTCCTATTGAAAAATAATAATAAAGAAGATTGAATATTTATCCACTAAAATTAAAACCAAAATATTTTTTTTTTGCCAAGTAAATATTTTTTAAAAATATTTTAATTTAAATTCAAAATGCCCATTTAATTTTAACTATGCCACATTTTCAAGTCAAAAATAATCCACCATTAATTTCAACACTAATATATTTTTCATTTGACAGTTCTACAATTCAATTTGAAAATTTGAACTTTTAAAAGTATCGAGCGGACAACTTTTGAATTGACGGTTGGTTGACATTTATTTTGAAAGTTAACCGCTTTCTACCAAAAAGAACCAATGCAAACTTTTAAATCTACCAATGGTTTTTTTTTAATTTTATAAACGACTTTTCTTTGTGTGTACCGTATTATTAATTTTCACTTCACATTTCCAGTTACTTTTCACTTGTGCTGCTACATTTTTCACTGAATTTATCAAAATAATACCCAGATAACCGTCATTTCGGTAAAACATTACCGGATGTGGGAAAAAAAATACCCAACAATCTGTAATATTATTCATTTACTGATTTTTTCGGTAACAAAATTAGCGAACAAGTAAAACGTCGCTGAGTGTGCATGATTCACGTTTCTGGATTTGTGAATAGGCACCATCATTCAAGCAGTTTTCCATTAACTAGGAATCGTATTTTTTCTCTCTAACGAACAGTTTAACAGTAGCGTCAAAGGTACAACCAGTGCAGTGATTATTCACTACACACTTAGAAAATAATATCGAACTCGGTTCGATTTTCTATCGAACCTCTTTGGTTACCAACAAGAAATAGAATAAATGGTTAAAAAAATTCAGGCGTATTTATCGAATCAGACCCGAATTTCGGTAAAATACACACTAAGATTATTTCACAGATTTCTGTAAAATTTTACCGAAATATCAACAGCTGAACGTTCGGTAAACAGTTTTACAGTTTTCCTGTAATTGTTTACAGATATCTGTGAAAAAATCACAGATATGTGTGAAAAAGTACAGGAAATCTGTTAAACTGTTTACCGAACGTTCAGCTGTTGAGATTTCGGTAAAATTTTACAGATTTCTGTAAAAATTTCTAACTGTGTAGTATAAATTTTACAGATAGAAATGAAGGCTGAAGCGAAAAGTACGGTAAAGTATCGACATTTGCCAAATTGGTACGTGAAAACCGAGAAACTCGGTAAACTGAACCGAATATTCGCTAAAACGTGTTAAATGTCAAACGCTTAAACGTCAAACTATTAGGTTTTGCACCGTCGGGGTTAACCTCAATCTGATGACAGTTCAGTGGTACTGTTTACGTGGACTTAGTCGATTTTTTCTTGGGTGGATTTTCTCGATAATTTTTCAGACTGCAGTGAGATGTACACAGCATTTCTGCAATGTTCACGAGCAACATCCTTGCAACGCGCTGTTCCTCGACAATTTTCAAGTTGAAATTCGGAAATTTTAGAATTTGTTTTTTCGAAAAAACGACTAAGTGCTTGTAAACAGTACCACTGAACTGTCAAAAAGGTTCAGCCTATTAACACTGAGTTCATTTGTGACGTCACGCTGCAGAACCTAATTGGCCTGCCGGATAAATGCGAGGGGCAGACCACTCATGTATTTCCGTTTTATTCAAACGTATTGGGGATACGTATTGACGCGTATTGATGAATTGAAATGCATTAGTGTTTTACGTAATAGCGATTATTTATTTGTAGAATATGCACTAAACGTGTACTGAACAATATTTACTCGCATTTTTACGTTCTTATCACAATTCGTGCCGTGTTTGTTTACATTTGTGTATGAATGACATTTACGAACTAAAGGCACTACGAAGCAAGCCACGAACAATGTCCTTTATATAAGGTCCAGGCCCACAGACTTATTGGTGTTGGTGAAATGCGTAAATATTTAGTGGTGTTCGTATTTCATTGCAATGTTCACACGAAACAGCTGTAGGCAGTTACGTCAATCTCCGCAGTTACGTCCGGCACCCGCAATAGTTGAGTTCATTCCTGCCACTGGTGCTGCTGCCTCCGTTTCCTCCATTGGTGCCTTCTCCTGTTGTTGAAGCAGTCACAGGTGTAGCCGCTGCGGTTCGACTCGATTTGGATCAAGCGGAAGTCTATTTTCGCGGAGCTCGAGGGGTCGAAGGTGAATTGGAGGTGGCTGTTGGAGTTGTCAACGGAGTACCACCACTACCACTGTCTGCATTCTCTAATTAACAAATACCATAAACGAACAATAACCCTAATAGTCAAACTTTTCCACAAATGGTTTGGATGATACCCCAAACACGTCGTTAAGCAGCCATTATTACTCCATAACAAATTTATTAGGGTTGCTCGACGACAAAGTGCTTCGGATCGACGGTGTTGAATTTTTTGAAGTAAATTCCACTAGAAAATTTGCCTTTATAGTGGGAACATTTCCGGAATTATTTTTAGATGCATTTGCTAGAAACTTATAATTTGCTTTGATTATTTTAATGCTAATAGGACCACTATGGTACAGTATCACATATTAAATGGTAGTCATCGTTTAAAATTATATACAGTGCACAGTGGGCCAGGAATGAAATCTAGCAGGAAAAAATTAATAACGCTCTAGGATTGCATCCAATTGAGTTGTCGTCTTGAGCAAAGTTTCTTGTCTTAGTCATGACTACAATTTTATGCATAGAAATAGTTCAAATTTTAGCCGCAAAGATGGCGCAGCGATCTCAACTTTTTTTTATTTTACACGCTAAAGGTTTATTGTCTTGGGCAAGGTTGTAGAACGTAAAATTTTATGAAAAGTTTTAAAAGACACAAAATCTGTTCATCCGCAAATAACTGCATTATACGAAGTTTTGTAAATTTTTTCTGAAATTCACGTTTTACCCTTCTTACAAAGAAGGGTATAGATATCACTTGAAAAACCGACTATCGATCCGAGGCCCGGAGGGCCGAGTGTCATATACCATTCGACTCAGCTCGACGAGATCGGAACATGTCTGTGTGTGTGTGTGTGTGTGTGTGTGTGTGTGTGTGTGTGTATGTGTGTATGTGTGTGTGTATGTAACGAAATTAATGCGCTCACGTTTCTCAGCAACCGCTCAACCGATTTGGACAAACTCGACGCCAAATGATAGGTCTTGGGGTCCCATTGAACGCTATTGAACGGTTTTGGAATCGGTGAACCGGTTCCGGAGATATGGCTGGAATAAGATCCGGTGAATATGGGCCTTCACGCTTAATTTAACGGAAAACGTATCAAAACCATCATGCGACACATCAAATTACTACAGAATTCAAAAATAAGATCAATGCAAGTCAAGTTAAGTGTTCCAGACCACATTGGACACACTTGGACATGTTCCGGGTACCCCGGGGAAGTTGTTTGAATATGAATTGAATTAAAACCCATTAAATCACATTAAAATACTATGATAAGGTGATTGGTAGCCTCACCAAATAGACTACACCCGGATATATTCCGGGTACCCCCAGGCAGTGGCGTAGCGTCACTGGATGACACGGGGGTGGGGGGCTTGGTCACTGATAATGACAATAAAATAAATAAACTTGAATAAGTAAGAAGGGTCTGATCACACCATAGGTGGATAAATTCGGGTTTTTAGTATTATGTTTTGTAAAATCGTTCAAATGAAAATATTTATCATTTTTCTTCGATCGCTACAGGCCAATCTAATATTTTCCAGAACAATTATATGTTTTAGCATACCCAAAAAAATAAATATTACATGAATTTAAAAAAAATACTTAATTTCCTGAATGAATTTTCTCAAAAATGCGCAAGTGAGCGCAAAATGTCATCAGTTATTCAAAATGTTCATTAAATAGACTTTTATTTCTCAAAACATCTCAGAGGTATATTGAGATATATTTTAGATATTTGGATCTGAATCAAACAATATATTTCATTTAAAGAAATACAGCTCTTACTATTGTTATGTAGGTACTTAATTGACTATTGCAATAGATTTTGAACTTTTTTTTATCAACTTGATAAAAATCTTTTTTTTTGTCAGTACAGGATCAGAAGTCAGTAAAAGCCTTTTGAACACATCTTCAATATTAACAAGACGGCTAAATTTTCTAGAATGATGTTCTCGGAATTTACGGATGCTTTTTATCATAGAGGTAACTCTAAGACCACTGGGTCCCGAAGAAAATCATTATTATTTTTGGCTCACTCAGTACCAGAACAACGGTCCCAAGCAGTCCCAAGCTATTTCACTCACCCCTGCATGTTCTGCATGAATCCACACACCCCTGATGTTATCTGTCAAACTTTCAAAGCGAATCAAAACAAACATAGTGTAGTAATAGAATTTTAACTAGAATAGGGTACGTTAATCGTTTGCTTGGGACCAATAGGCTACTAAAGTGGTGAGCCACTTTAAAATCGTTAGTTTCGTATTGATTGTTGCTTTTATTGCGTCGCTCTTGAGCCTCTTCCGACACCATTCCGATTGGAATTGCGAAATAGCTTATTATTGTTGATCCATGTAAAAGAATTCTGTGCACGGAAGGTGAAAGGGGGTAGTACGGATAGTACTGTACGAACAGCTTTCGAGTTTCTTCAGCGTAGACCTCGAATGATCCTACGTTGATTTCCAACTTAGATGACAGTGCACTAAGGAGTGTTGAAAAACGACGAACGATGTTCTCATTCAATCCTGTAATAGAGGCCGTTTTTGCTGGGTCCATAAAAAATCGACGGGCAGTATTGCCATCGTTTGTATTACCTAATAACAAAACAAATGTCTAGTAAGCTAAATTTATTGGATTTGAAAGTTGGAATACGTTACCTCCAGATGGTAAGGGTTCACTGATTCTCAGCCCAATCGTTTTGAATTCTTGTTTGATTGCTTTCTGTCGTTCAGCCAATATTTCGTTTCCCTTATTTACCCGTCTCTTT